GCTCAAGGTGAACGCAGGGCTCGGGGGTAAGTCGAAGTGGTGGCCGGTTCACAGAGGTCGATGGTCTACAGGTTGCCAGGCGTGTGTAGTGTGTGTGCGTGTAATAAATCCTCTTGCTATGGTTAATATAATTCATGTTATGACTGTTCGTTGCTGAATGTTCAAGTCAATAATAACTCAGGGTCAGAAAAATCTCATTGTCACTTCAAGTAATTTCGTACAATAATTTTTTCAAGTAGTTTTTTCACGAACCGCAAGAGAAATGCGGAACACGCATCTAACTTTCTTTCGACTGACTTGATGTTATTTACACCTTTGTGACGAAAAGTAGCGAAAAAACAGAAAGGTGACAATCAGAGCACAACTTTGCCCTTGACCGCCCCACCTACTTCCTCGAAATTGAAACAGTTCTTAATTTGAAACCCTAACTCACCCTTGTAAATATATTTAAACCACAGAAGACACAGATCACAACATAAACAACACAGAAAACTCGAAGATATCAGGTACACAAAAGAAAGTAACCCAGAAGAATAAAGCCTAATAAAAGAAAGTTTAACCCACGAGAGAAAGGCTCACCCAAAGAAGAAAGCCTTGCTAACAGAAAAAAGAACAAGCCATAAGAAAAAGGAGATATAGAAAGCTTAACCAAGAGAGGAAGGCCTAACCAACTAAAGAAAGCGTAAGACGTCCTGGAAAAAAAAGACTACGTAAAAACTAAAAGAACCTAAAAAATTAGTGATCCGTTTATGATGATCCACAGAACAAGCCTAACCCACACAAGACACCTGACTCACTGAACACATTCAGCACAGCCTAGTTTGTAGCAGCAACTTAGTCCATACCATTAACCAAGCTTTTAAAAACACAAGACTAACCTTAAACGGCTGCACCACAACACACCTTTACTCATTCCACACCCACAACTCACAGCACTACAAGCTTAGTCAAATGAAGACAACATAAACAATAATTACATAAATTTATCTCACAAAATACTAACTAATATACAGAACAATCCCCCAGAGTAAAAACAATCGGCCATGACCTTCCAAGGTTGGAGAGTTTTTACTACAGATGCCCACTCCTGGGCCGGATCCAGGCCGATGCAACCAATGCACTTGCATCGCTCAAAAAATCCTGACCGATGTAAAGATATATGCATTGGTCAAATGACTGACCTATCGGTAACGTGATCCCAATGTCAGTGTTGACCTGTGTGGCCCACCAGCTGCTGTGCTGGCCAGTGCCGGATTCAGGAGTGGGCAAAGTGGGCAGCTGCCCAGGGGCCTCCACAATCTGGGGGCCTCCACATATTACAATATTTTATTTATTTGTTTACTCATTCCCATTATTTTTATTTTTATTCTTTAAAATTCATGTTTATCTATTCCATCACGTAAAACTATGTTCAGCAAGAAGCGTGGGAGAAATTAAGCTAGCTACTCCTTGAAATTCATGAATACCTGGTTTTCCCATGAACCGTACATTTTTAATGAATGCTATTGTTTGTGTTGCTAATAATATCTGATTAATAATGCAAAGAATCATCTCTCTGTAATAACTAATAATATATTCTTTTCTGTGAAGTCTCTTGAAAATTTTTGACATGTGCGGTAGTAGCTATATCAGGGCTGGTCGACTTGAAACCACATGAATGACTCCAGTCATGTCTCACTTTTGTGTGTGTGTGTGTGTGTGTGTGTTGGGAATTTGTACACTGTCAATAAATATACAGTTAATTAAAAATTTCGCAATGTTCTAATTCCCTCAATATAACTGCATATGGCTTCAAAATTCTCCAAAGAAGTGTTCAAATTTCAAAATTTTCCCGGGGGGCGCTGTAAGCCCCCCGGAACTCTCAGATGTTTAGGCTCGCTTCACTCCCCACCCCACCCTCTTGGGTAGTTATAATGAAGGGGGCCCCCACAAAGAGGCTGCCCATGGGCCTCCACAGGTCTAAATCCGGCACTGGTGCTGACCTTAGCTGTCACTTTCTGTACCTGAGTGGCAGGTTTTCTGATTTTCAACTCCCGATATCTTGGTTATGGGTAAAATGCGCTAAAAGTGTCATAGGTGAAAATCGTCTTGTTTTGTCTCAACTGATCGCAAAAAAAACTATCGAATTATGTCCTCTATTATATTGTAAGTTGAGCAATTACCTTTCTAAACCCTGTGAAGGGTAATTATTGACGACTGACCAGCGCCCGGTATTTTATAGAAAACTATTATAAAAACACAGCAATTGCACTGTGTTTTATAGTGGACACTTTCGTAGTTTCTGTAAATGTGTTAAAAAGTGGTTATTTCTAAATTAAACCTAACCTTACCTTAGTTGATATGAAAAGCAGGCAGCAGAAGTATTGTTGAAAGGCCTCGCCAACCTAACTAAACAAACCTACTTAACCTTACCTAACTTCCTAGCCGTGGGGCTCTGCCCCCCGGATCCCCCCGTATATTAAACAGAAAGAACTTGCTTTGATATGGTGTAAATACAAAA